TCCCCGCCCGCACTCCCTCCGACGCCGGTGGAATCTCGCTTATTCCGGCTGACAAAAGCAAAAGATAGTCCACTCAGCCTAATCTAAAGCTCTGAAGATACTTTCCTTTGTTTGCTTTGGCCCGCCTTAGCTTTCCGTGTGACAATGTCCTCAGCGGCAGCAACTGCTAAGACCCGCAGCCACCCCCCTCACCTATATAAGCTCCACACCGGCCAACCAGATCATCACAAGATTATTCTATTTCATCTCTGAAAAAACCAATTTACATATGCACAAAGGTACTTGATCCAAAATTCAAACTTGACCCTTGTTAAAAGTATTGTGTCTCCGTCAATGACATCCAAAAAATCATTCATCAGTGTTGCAAAATATTTTGAAGATAAATCTACTCAGTCTGTTGAAACCCCAACAACATTGATATCAAAGAAGATAGTGGATTTGTTTTCAGGTGAGTAGTATGTCATGAATATGTTTCTTGACCCTTCTGAATCAGAATTAAACCAATATCTGAAATAAGCTCCAGAGACAAGGGGCACATATATTCTTGGATACTGGTATACTTGACAAATCAGCTTCCCAATACTATCAAAAATGGCTCATTGTTTTTTGGCAGGTAAATGCTGTTCAACAAGACATTGTTGGATCCATTTTGTTTAAATACAAATAAAAGGCTTTTTATTAAATTATTTCCAAAGCTTACATCATCTTGAAGTAATAAATTTTTTGAGTTTCTATTCCCTTGAAACTACCTGGGGTTTGGGGGTATCTAGTGGCCTAGCCTGGACCCTCCCACAGCCCACAATCTGGGTTCCAGCCTTATACACAAGTCAAAATCTGGTCCTCTTGGGGCCCCAATTACAGATTGCTGAAGGTATAAAATAACTCTTCAGGATCCATGTGCTTCATATACTAATTAAGAAGACCGAGGTGAAAGCTGGGTAGGAGCTGTGCTTACAGGAATGTAGAAAAAAGGGTTGTCAGGAGAATTTGGCAAGAACTTAAGCTGATTGGCTACTTGCCAGAGGTGGTAATCTTGTGGCATCTAATCTCAAGGAAGTAGGGAAAGATTTTAAATGGGGCTTTCAATAAGACAGACTAAAGTTCCAGTGGTAAAAGGTTTGGTGAGGGTTAAATGAAGTAAAACTCTAAAAGTAGGAGGAAGAAACTCACTGTAATTACTATTTTGTGCTGGGTTAAATCTCTGAGGATCCATCTTGATGCCAAAAAGGGCTAACTTTTATATTCTAGAGGTCTCTCAGCAAGGTAAATTGTGAGCACACTTGATGCCAGGAAAGGTATTCCTCTAGCTATAAGTGCCACAAAAATTCTGTAAAAATGATGGGAATATATATTTTGAGTTTTGGAATGTTT